ATATATATATATATATATATATATAGTAGCAAAAAACGTTTTTGACATTGTTATCATTTATAATAAAGTATCTCTGTCTACATAAAGTATTTCTCTAGAGATACTTTGTTATTGTTGTTGCTCATATTCTTTTCCCTATTTAGTCTCTTCCCTCCATTTCCGGGTGAGGAGAGCTCCCTGACCTGGGACAGCAAGAAGTTTGAAGAGTTACCGATAGCACACATAAAAGCCACATATAACAAGTAAGTTGCTTGACAAAAAATAAAATAGTCGTGATTGACAAATTAAAATGGAATTAGTTCAGATATAGTTTGATTATAGTTTTTTTGCTGTGTGCATGCAGCTATACCATATGCTTATTTCATCTCTTAACTATGTTTGTCTTTTATCCATCTGTTGCGTTGGTCAAAGTGCTTTTGTTGCATAACATATCCTACTGTACATCATGTCTTTTAGTTTCAATGCCCATGTGAAATGAATTTACAGTGTTTTCTTAGTGTATCTAGGGACTACAGATGTTAATAGTATATGCATTATAGGGATGTAACGGAATGAAAATTTCTTATCACGGTTATAGTGCCCAAAATGATCACGGTTATCATTATTATCACGGTATTGTTAAAAAGTGCTGGAAATGTTAAAAAAAGTACTGACACACAAATCATTTCACCAAGTTTTACATTTCAAATCAACAAAACAACAAATAAAATTAGTTTTTGTTTGTATAACTAAAACAATAACATTGCCAATGATGTCCGGATTTTAAATGACAACATGACTGACAACAGTTTATCTAATAGCATGTTCAAATATCTCATGTAAATGTTCAAATAAAGCTTTGAAAATGCCGATTGCTGTGGTGTCGTCTGCAAACTTCAGGAGCTTGACAGAGGGGTCTTTAGAGGTGCAGTCATTTGTGTAGAGGGAGAAGAGCATTGGGGAGAGAACGCAGCCCTGAGGAGCTCCGGTGCTGATGGTGCAGGTGTTGGATGTGAGTTTTCTCAGCCTCACTAGCTGCTGCCTGTCTATCAGAAAGCTGGTGATCCATTGACAGATGAAGGTGGGCACAGAGTTTCTGCCTGTAGGCTGGTAGAAGATGAACCAAACGGTGATCAGAGAGTCCCAGCGCAGCTTGGTGGACAGAGTGGTATGCATCCTTTAAAACAGTGTAGCAGTGGTCCAGTATATTGCTGTCTCTGGTGGGGCATGTGATGTGCTGTCTATATTTAGGCAGTTCACGGGTGAGATTAGCTTTATTAAAATCACCGAGAACGATAATGAAAGAGTCCGGATAACGCTGCTCTGTGTGTGTAATTTGATCGGCCAACAGTTCTAGCGTGGCGCTCATACGCGCATCAGGAGGAATATACACACTCACCAGAATAAACGAGGAAAACTCCCGCGGTGAATAAAAAGGCTTACAGTTAATGAAAAGAGCTTCCAACTTTGGGCAGCACATGCTGTATTATATACAGACTAATAAATTACAGAACGTTTAGTAAACACTGAGGAATCAAATTAAAAAATAAATAAAAGAGAGCCTCCATAGCATAACGTGAGGTAAACAGCAAAGATAACGCAAATGAAAACAAAAATCTTTTACTTTACTTTAGCATGAAACCCATCCATCGTTTCCTCAATATTCACGTCATTTTTGCTGCACGCAGCTTCGTGCTCCTGACGCGGCGAGTATAAACCAGGGTCTACACTCGAAGCGCTGCGCAGCTCAAACGAGTCGCGCGGTTTCGTTATGCTTTCAGTTTCGTTTCCCGTTTGATGTTTCTCACATGCAACAGAAATGCAGCGCTTATGAGTTAAACAATGCGGTGGTCGCGCCAGTGTGACCGCACACAAAATTTAGTTGCACCGGCAGAAAAAATTATCGCAAAATGCGCCCATTTGGTCGCACACTGGAGCCCTGTGCAGTACAGTAGTTATTTATCCTCAGTTGTTCAAATCGCGGTAATCGAATACGGTTATAGTGATAATTAAAATATGAAACGGTAATATTAACCGTGGGGTATTTTATCAAGATTTATCGTCAAACCGGTAATCGTTACATCCCTAATGCATTATAATTATTATTTATACCTAATACTGCATGTTTACATATAGCTAACTGTATTTTGTCCTTCATTTCTTGCTCAAGCACACATATCCACGTCACAGATTGTCT